TTGTTATCTGCTAAACTAGCCTACCCTAAATGTTGCTAAAAGTGTATAAATATGGGGGTGTTTTTCCTCATAGAAAAGTCTATTACCAAGTCTCTTGTCTTGTCGCGCTACACATAAACCGTGAGCACTTTTAAAGTTACAATTCTGCAGGTAAAGCAGAGTCATATTAAAACCTAGAAGCAAGCAACACAATGGATTTTTCACTCCCTGGTGCATTTTGAGCATAAGCTGGAAAATTTAAACTGATGAACAGAGAATTTTTCGACTTCAGACTAAACTAATACAGCCATACATGAAAGTATTCTTCCTAGTATTCGCCATTTAAAAAAAAAGTAAACAACTTTTATTCAGTAACAATCCCTAAGGTTTCCGATATTTTTGTCAAGTGATGCAAATTCTAACAATAAAGATAATATGAGTCGCCTGGACGTTGAGTATATTACTACTACTGACCGTCAGATAACATAAAACCTAAGTCTAGTCTGGATGGTAGTAGTTATGGGAACTCAAGGGTCAACAATGATAGGCCAGAATTAGTAGCAGTCCCACTTCCCAATTTAGCTGTTACAACAAAAAGAGAGTAGCATTTGCTTTCAACTTCAAATATTCGGATCATTCCAATAATTAATAGCATATTAAAAAAGCGCGAAAAAAAATAGCAAGTGCATGCCAGATATGAATCACTAGGATTCAACCTCTCTTCTTTCCTATCCACAAACAAAATATGATGTACGGCAAATGTATACATATATATCCATCGGTTTGTATGACAGAAGATTTATAGTATCCTTCAAACAACAAAGAGATTCAAATAAATGAAAATAACAGTTAGCTATATTAATTTACAATAAAAGCCGAATGTTGTCAGAGACTTTGTACTACATATAGATATATATAGGACAAAGATTTAAGGGAAACAGAAGGATACTGAACAACACATTTGGGTCATATTATAACTGTAATGACTAAGTTGCTTATATTGTTTTTAACACAATCGGGACAAAACTATGAAAAGAAAGTATGAATTATGATGGATAATATCTTGAAAATGTCAAGCCTCACGAAATCTTGATTAAATAGAACTTTATCTGAATGAAGAGGTGGAAATAAAACACTTTTTTACAGTTTATAAGGCTATCCCATTTAGAGGAATAACATAAAACACCAGAAAAAATTGGTTCATCCAGAAGTAGTACTGTATGATGACAAACTTTCTCCTAAAGCAACTATACACTGTCTTATTTCTAAACACAATGTCGTAAGTAAATCGCGTTAGTCAAGGAACTCTACAGGAACCCACGAAGCTGTAGAAAAGCTTACGGAAAGTTTTCACCTAAAGTGATGACAGCCAGTAGTGTCCGTTAGGGATGCTCACTGTCCCCATATTCTATTTAATTTCATCATAGATGTACTAATGTACTTAACCCTAACTGAATTCAGCGATGACAGGGGGACTGACCAGAGAATAATCTCGTTGACTTAGAACATGCAGATGATACAGTCCTTCCTCCTAGGTGAAGACGCTGACAGAATGATTAGTCTTCTGAACACCTTCAAGAGCAGAAGTCTTTGAATATTCGGCATGCGATTCGCTCTCTTTGTCAAATGTAAGATAATGCTATAAGAGTGAACTACATTGACTTACTCCTAGCTTAAAGATAGGAAGGGAAGTGGTAGAGCGTGTCGACCACTTCACATATTTAGGAATTCGCATCACCCCAATGGGTTGATTTCTGACGAAATATCAGCATGGATACGAAAGTCCTGTATGTTATTCGCCAACTTACACCATCTCTGGTGTAGAAGTGATACTCGGCTATCGACCAAAGGATGTGTCTACTGCGTACCAGTTCGCTTTGTCCTGTTTTAAAACTGACATATGGCCATTAAAAGAAGAATATATGAAAAGGCTAGTTATTGCTGATCATAGGTGTCTGCAATTTATCTCCCGTGTTAAGTAGTATAATACAGCAAGTGATATTGAGGTTTCGCGTCCAGTGTTAGGTAAGGATGGAAAGTCAGTCGATGGGGTTGTGCAGCTATATCGGCTAAGATGGATAGGACATCCGTTACGCATACCTCGACGAGCAATGCTAGCTGACATAGGGTGGATCAGGTTGGAAAAGAGCTAGTGGTGGTCAAACGTCAACACGGAATCAGTTCATAAAATCTTAAACTGTTAGTTTGAGCCAGCCATGCAAGAGGATGTAGACTTCCTGGTTGGGGTCATCGGGACTTTAAGTACCAAAATCGTTTTCGATGGCTCAGATGCATTCATCACTCTTTGTGATCAACCATATCCATTATAGATACCGTCGTTTGGGCATGTTACTACTCGTTCTTCTGTACACTTCTTCTAATTATTGTTCTTTGGAATCCCTTTTCTTTCTTCATTTTAAATAAAGTATAATTATATTTCAATAGTTTACACACAATGATAAGTTTTGTTATTGGTAATATCTCAAGCGAAATTGCCAATAACAAAACTTATCATTGTGTGTAAACTATTGAAATATAATTATACTTTATTTGATCTAATCCACAATGCTCAAACTTTTTACTGATATTTCTTCATTTTGTTTTCCTTTGTGTACTACATAGAGTGTGCCAGCTCGAACTGGTGCACTTCTGCGCAAAGTTCTCCATGTTGACAACAGTCAGTCAATAGGTATAGTTGTAGCACAATGAAGATATACAGTATACTACATAAACTTGGACAATTAAGCCTTTCGGTAACATAAATACAAATAATTAACAATAAGGAAAATTACTTCAAGTCTCAGAAAAAGTATATAAATAAACGAGGAATAAACACAAAAGAAAATTATAAAATACAAACATTTTAGGTGTTAATTATTTAATGTGATAATGATTATAGTGGGAATGTAAAAAAGAACTATTTCTTATCAGAACCTGAACTGTAAGGCCTCTGCTTTATGTGATTACAGCTCTACCGATTGAGGTGCTAATGAATTTATATTTATGATAACTCAACCACCGTAAAATTCGGATTTTCAAAGCCAACGGCAGGCGCATCACTAAAAGCATTTTCAACAAACTACTTCATACTTTTGTCAACATGACTGACTGACTGTTTGCAACACAGAACTTTGCACGGATGTACAGCAGTTCGAGGTGTCACACTCCCTTCATGTAGCACACAAAGCCAGAGAAGGAAGTAAAAAGAAACGCAAAACAAAGACAGTAAACAGAAATATGAGGCGAGAAGAATAGTAATATCGAAGAACTATATAGTTTTCTTGGATACTATAAGTCACAAGGAGTGGATGCATCTGCGCCATTGAAAACGACGAGTTTGAGCCATATCAACAATTGTCTCCGGCCTTCATTGCTTTTTACCGTACCGAGGACCCCAACCAGTCAGGAAGTCAACACCTCCCTACGTGACTGGCTTAAAATAACAGTTGTGGATTTCATTGATTGATGGAGCCATGTTTTGGTTTGACCACCACTGGCTCTTTTCCAACCTCATCCATCTTATGTCAGCTAACGTTGCCCGTCAAGGAAGGCGATGGTTAGACATGTGTAACATATATCCTAACCATCTCAGTCGATGTAACTTCACAGCCTTGTCCACTGATTTCCCCTCTTTACCTAGCACTCGACGCCTAACTTCAATACTGCTCACCCTATTATGCCACTTCACACGGCAGATAGAACGCAGGCACCATAGATCATCAGGTGTCTTCCCTGGCTCCAACTGAAGATCAGATGACCCGCTAGAAAGAATTAACACCAGGAAACTCTGGGAACGAACTAATCAAGAACGTATTGCTTAATAAACATCCCGGCAAAAGTTGAGATAAATAGGACACACAGGGAGTGGACCCAGAATGTTAAGCCGATCAGAGAGGCTGTAGTCCTAGGGTGACATGGAGGAGATCGTGTTAAGAGGAGATAGGAGTTTATGGGAAGTCGTGAGGTCTAGCTGAAGAGGGTCGCAGAGAACAAGGTGAAATGGAGATGTTCTGCTGAACCCCACTGTTCTACTCGGAACCTAAAGGAATAAGAATAACCACAAAGCTTTCCTTTAGATAAATGAAAACCAGATAATTATCGAGTGATCTTAAAGCATACCCACCCCCTGCATAGAAAAATACACCTGTTTGGATGTGAGCCATTAGGATATGAGTAAAGACAAAGTAATTCTGATGCAGTAAGCCACATATGCTAGAATGAAACGACGAAAATACGATTCTGTATGTTTATCTCTGAAGTCTACTACCATTGACTAGCACACATATCCCTTAACATCACTCTAATCATTCGTTTAGCATCATCATACTACCTATCCGATTGGTTACACATATCAGGGTTGCTACTAATGTCTAAATGAACCAATTACATTAATTCCATCTAATATAATGTGAATTGCTAGACTGTAGTGTGATGTATGCATCACATGCATTATGTTTATACAGATAAACAAGCTAAAATATAACTGACTAACTAGTATTGATTAGAAATTGAAAATCTTTAACTGTGAAACAGCTGATGAATCCACATACTTTTAAATACAACCCACTAATTCATCACCAAGTAAAGCATTTGGTGACAACCAGCACCCATCTCAATCTCAGTATTGCTCGACAAACACTTGGAATTCCATATAGCTGGCAATGAGCCACACCTTTTATGTTGTGGTTGGTTTGGTTATACTGCCCGGAGCTGCCCAAACCTCAGTGTGTGGAGCAGGGTTCGAACCAGGAGCCCACTGGTTGAGAGTTAGACTACCAGACCGATGAGCCACAACAACAACCACATGTGGGTTTGTGCAAATGGAAATGAACCATGACTAAGGCGTGAGGGACAATGACACTAACTGCCTGTATTTGTTATAATCCGTGGATCACTGGTAAAAGAAAGTGTAAAATTTATTAACACACTACTATGAATTATCTATCGATAATTTAAAAATATTCAAAAGAAAAAAATAAATAATAAAAAAATAATAATAAATAAATAAAATAAGAGCTTACTCGATTTGTAACCTTAGCGCTTGCTACTCGTTGTCCACTTTGTCTATCCCATACATACAAGGTATGATCCTCTTGACTCCCGATACTTACTAAATATTGATCATTTGGACTGAAACGCACTGCCGCTACACGAAAATGATGACCACCGAATTCAGCCAGTTGACAACGTTCTGATACATTCCAAAGTCGAACCATTGGTTGATGGCCCGACTATTTAAAAAACAAGGAAAACAAAAATAGCAAAAAGATTTTTAAAATAAACGAAATTTGAAATACATATTCGTTAGTATAGAATTATTAATAAAATAAACATATTTTCATGTAGTTCTGTTCTCTGAGCTGGATAGTTCATTTGTGAAGCTTTCATTTCCCTACTGAGCAACATCTTCACAGATCAAAGAAAATCGCCCTACCATATATAAAGGACATCTCAAAAATCACTGCAAGATTCTTCCAGCCTTTAGGAATTGATGTCGCACACAAACCAACAAAATCACTTCACTCAGGTGGCTCTATGTCAGCCAAAAGACTCAACAATATAAAAGATAAAACCAACATCATCTACAAAGTAAATTGTAACAACTGCGAAAAACACTACATTGTACAAAAAGGGACGTCCCCTTCGTCTTCGTATCCACGAACATAAACTAGTCGTCAAAAGACATGACATCCACTACCTCACATCGCCGCATACAGACTACCACGGACATCAATTCGACTGGGACAACCAGCATTCAAATATTAGACAGGGGAAACACCAAGAATGCTAGAGAATTTTTAGAAGCCTGGTATTCCAGTGAATCATCAATCAATAGACACATCGAGATAGACTAAATTTACCAACCGATAAGAAGGGAACCTCATCAATCAACACCAATACAAGTATTGAAGTATTGGTTTGTAGGGATTCGGTTGATTGGTTACAGAATTTCATCATGAACTGACATTGGTTAGAGAACCATTGGAGAAAACCTGGGAGCACTGGACAGCTGTTTCGTCCTAGTTTGGGACTCTTCATCAGTACGCACCCGCCGCCAGGGTTCGAACCAGGACCTTCTGGTTACATGGTGAGCTCGAACCCTGGCGGCGGGTGCGTACCGATGAAGATTCCCAAAACAGCTGTCCAGTACTCCCAGGTTTTCCAATGGTTCTCTAACCAATGTCAGTTCATGATGAAATTCTGTAACCAATACAAGTAGCCTAAAGGGTGCGAAAAAAACACAAAAACAACCAATCACGTTCAAGGTCACGTCACCAGGAGAGATGGCTAAAAAACTCGTGAAGAAATCTAAAAGCTTACTTCAATATATTGAAGTATGCGCTGAAGATGTTGCCTAGTAGGGCAACGAAAGCTTCGTAAATGGACTATCCAGCTCAGAGAACACAACCATATCAAAATCACCCACCTGAGCTACAAATCTTGTCCATCATATCTAAAAGCAAACATAGGACGATAATCGTAGTATACTGAGAGTGGAGAACTGTTAGAAAACACAAATCTCCACTCAGTAGCTGTATAGTAACATGTTGACTACTAGACATGATGATCAGAGGTTTAATTCCATAAGGAGTGATAAATGCTTACTGCTAACTAGCCATGAAATGGGAGGAAAAGAAATGGTACTCAGTTTCTAGTAGTTCTTGAGTTGATGTCACTTGGTAACAAAATCCAGTCTGGAATTAAGTAATGCATCTACATGAATGATAATATAAAGCGAGATAATTATAAGAAAAAAATAGTTCACTAAGTCAGACAGCTTTTTATAGAGAAGATAAGATGAAGAATTCTACATTGAAAATAAACTAACTAAGTAAGCAAATGGAACGATAATGAGAATGATAAAGGTTTAATATTTTTGAGTTATAAACGACTCTTCAAAAATTAGGGTCAATTAAACAAAAGTAGTACTACCAAGTTGTGAGTCAGTAGTTTAGCGTTAGAATGCTCACCAACCACTGATATGGTCTGGGAACTGATCACCAGCAAACGAACTTCTTAATCTCGCTAAGTCAGTAGTAAGGCCGATAAAGAAGGTAGGTTGGGCGTCAGGCCAGCAGACTAACCCCCCGAGAAAACAAAATCACTGCTACCGAAACATCACACCTTTAACTTGAAACCCTATGTTCCACTGAGAACGTAAAGGAATAAAACAAAAATGATTAAAAAAAACACCAAGTCAATCGCCTGTGTATCCATCAAAACATTCACTGAACCATTTCTCAACAATATGAATCATTGCAAAAAATGGAAAATGATAACTGTAACCAAATAGAAAAAGTTAATACCATTGCGGACCAGTGACGTAATGAATAATAGTTTAGCGAGTTTCAGTGGGAACACCATTACCTACTGGAAATGTAAGTAAATTCAATTGAAGAGTCCCGAACAGGATGAAACACTCACATCTATACCTCAGTATAGTATATAGCCTCTTCTGCAAGAATCCTGAATAGGGGTTTAATTCATAGAGTGACAAAACGAGAAGTTCAGGAACACCACAGAAAGCATAAAATCAATAGAACGAAGCCGAATAAAAATAATTAGTGCAAACTAAAGTTCAAGTGCGAGGTTTGTTATACTGTACCGCTGTAATGGGAAAACAGCAATATTTGATAGCAGAATTGTTTAGTTGGCTAAATTACGTACTCATGTCCTAAGACATAAAAACAAAAACAATCACTAAAAGCTATTCAGATTCCGATTCTTTTGTCTTAATTTTGTACTTCCTATATTGCTTCACAATGACCTCCGCCACTCCTCTTCACAACTTAGTCTGTCCCCTTGGCTATTCAGGATTCTTGTAGCAGAAGACGTGACGAGTATATTACTCATAAACTCTTATCAGTAGCACACACCACACTATTATTGTATGTGATTTTTTCAAGTCTGTGTCCTTCGTTGCACCATTTTTTTTAAACATGAGATACTGGTAAAATGACTGAAGAATTTCAGAAAACCTTAAGGCATGTGAGTCATATACGCGTGTACTTCTCAGCTAGTCATAAATTTTTTGATATATTTTGGGATTACTACAATTTCAAGAATGAATTATCCGATTAGCTATTCGCGAAGAATACACGCATACATATTTTCTGAAAACATAATCATCACCTACAAATGTTTCTAATTTCGATAAGGAGCTGAAAAATATGTAAGGCATGAAAATACTGGGGAGAAAATAAATTTCAGTTGAATGAATGGATGAATGAATTAAGATGTACAATTAATCCAACATTTTTGTAAGTTAGTAAAAATCTCATCAACTTTCTTATTTTAAAGTATTGGTTTTGTAGGAATTTTGTTTGATTGCATGTGGGGGATTTCACCATGAGCTGACATCAGTTAGAGAACCTCTGGAAAACCTGGAGTACTGGACAGCTGTTTCATCCTAGTTTTGGGACTCTTCATCAGTGCGCACCCACCGGGGTTCTTATTCTATTTTATTCAATTTTAGATTTTCCCGCCAACTGATTGGACCGAGGTGCTCGGTCTCAGGTTGACATGTCGGCGTCTTGTGTAGATGCTTCGACGATGACTGGGCACATAATTAGAAATTAATTGGTGGATGGTGACTAGCAGTGGAATTCAGGATGCGCGTTTGAAATTATGGGCACTGGGTTCCAGCCTTGGTGGGAACATCATCACTCACTGCGAAGGCAGGCACATCCAGCCGATGAGACCCAAATAGGACGATATGCGCATCCTGAATTCCACTGCTAGTCACCATCCACCAATTAACTTTATTGTTTTGTTTAAATCGATTTTGTTTTTTCTTCGTTGACTGGTTGAAGCGTCTAACGACGTGTTGGCTGCTAGTACAGAAGCTACAACGGTGTCTGAGGATTAACATTGATGTTGTTTGTACTATGTTTCGCAATATGTTGAGACTGAAATGGGGGACGCCGATGCTGGACACTGACGCGCTGATCACGAATACTGCTTGACTACGCAAATAACATTATACGGCAGCTACCTGTTTTTCTAGTCTACACTACTTAAATGAGAGCAAACAACGACGTCAGCCGCAGAGTATAATTGTCGCAATAAAGTATGATTCAAAATGTCACCAAGGTTGTGTCAATTAGTTTGTAATTATCATCAATAAAGCGGTGGGCGTTATTTTAAGTGGGTCAAATTCTGATTGGTTATTTCCAGACTGGTCAATTTTGATTGGTTAATCTTCAGACTGGATATCGACCAGCATGTAAATTTAGTGGATAGTGTTCCCATACTGAGAACATCACTCGCTGGGGATTCTAGTTACCTCGAGTAAATAAATCCATGTAGGAAGAAATGCACATCCTGGATTCCACCATCCAATACATCCACAACTCTCCTTTACTATTGATGAAAGTGATACAGTAAATACTTTCTTTTCTATCAGTCACATGGTATTTATAAAATGAAAAAGACTACTTATAATATTTCATAACATCACACTTTCGTGTGACTTTTTTAATTGCTGGAATATATAACAAGCTTTTAATAATAGAGTACATCTACACACACACACACACATACAAATAGTTCATGAATACTCGTTATGCAGTGTAGATAGCATGATGAGTCAAATAGGTAATTTTTATTGCCAATTGAAAACAACTGCTATATTTTTCACACAAAAACCACTAGAATTCCTAAAAGAATCTATTTATAAGTCGTCTCTAATATGTCATGTTGTTACACTTCACCACACGAACTATTTTTGTGAAGGAACAGTTTCTAACATGTTAGACTATACTAATAAACAGAGATGAATGAATTTAATTGTAATGTTATATCTGTTAAAATGTGATGTCGGATATATATTCTATTCAGCAGGCAGCAAAAATGAAATATTTTAATATTGACACAGTAGTAGTTTAGTGCATCTACAATGAGTGACCTTATTCTACCTACTGACCGCTTTATTCACTTACTCTACACCACTACTACAACTGAATAAATTGTGGCCTAACTTCATTCTCTTGCGAATCATCATTTTCAGAGCCTGTAAAACTTATTTACACGGAGGTGTGGCGGGTGCTACAGGCAACGCCTTTCTTCAAGCTTAATTACGGATTAATATCAGTTAGACAACCATTGACAAACATCAGAGAGTACTGGACAACTAATTGTTTCGTCCCAGTCTGGAACTCATCATAAGTATGCACTATATCGCCAGGGTTCAAACCCAGGACCTTCGTCTTGCAAGTCAAGTTTGTACACC